GGGGGGGGGGGGGGGGGTCGATGTGTCTGGGATCCCAAACTTTTTGTGGGGAGTTCCAGGAAGAAATTTGTAAGTAGAAATCTTACTTTCGTGATATTTGAGATATGCATTTCCTTACGTTTTTATTTTGACATTTGCCCCAATTGATGCACTTTTTCATTTTCTATCGCTGCTGCGGGAGATGAGCTTGTGGTGGAGACCATGAACCTGGTTTGTGGACTTCTTAATGGGCAATAAGCAGGAAATCAACTAACGGGAAGGTAGGAAGGACTGGGAAAGTATTGAGAAAATAAGATTTATGCAGGGAGGCTCGTTTGCAGTAAGTTTTGGCAAATGAAATATGTTCAGAGTTAAGATCTACACAAGAATTTCATGAATTTCTAAGAAAATCATGATTTAAGGTGGTTTACACCGGCGGTGAGTTTGAGGCGAGAGTGAGGAAACTCGTCATAGGGTTGCTCCGTCAATTCAGGTGAAATAATTTTATGTCAACTTAAAAAAATAAATCTTTGTAGGTTTTCATGTGATTATGTGTTTAACATTATTGCATCTAGAAACTTTTTCATATTTTGGATGAATACCTGTATAAACTGCATGAATGCAAACTTGAATTGTCACTTATAATACCTATGATTTTATTATGTTATGAACATGATGAATATTCTTATAAAATCCTTGCTTGCAAATATTAATCTACCATGATTCATGCATATGATATATGAAATATCTATGATGAATGTTGCATGAATTGTTATTTAAAAAATATCACAAGTGTTGTTATAGGTAGGTCATTATATGAATACATGCAAGTAAGGATGTATGTAACAATATCATTATTGACTTCTAGTATTCAGATGTAAATGAAACTCTGAGACTAGTTGGGATCAAACGTGGACGAAATGTGGGGAATTTGTTGATACCAGAGAGGTTATTGATAATTATTATGTTGGGATGACTCAACTTTTATCAATAGCTAATCTAGTCTTCGGACTGGTGATGATCTATGATATGACATGGCAGAAATAGTTGAGACCTATATAATTACAAGTGATATTTCTATGATTAGATTGATGAATCTTATAAATATTTTTATTATACAAGAATGTTTAAGATACATATTTTATACAACCATCATGATCATCTGCATTACATGTTTTTTTTACATATTTTATTCAATTATAGCATGTTGTGATGTGTTCTAGACATGATATAAATTAAATATGGGCATGCACGTCAATTTTTCATCTATTGAATCTTATTTTAGCATTAATTATTTTGTTGAGTTTATTGTAGCTCACTCAACGTTATTGACTTTTAGAAAGGCGTAATGAGCACCAGGGCGAGTAGCCAGGTGTGACTTTTGGGTCTGTACTTTTATTATTTTTGGATTTAACAGTTATATATATTAAAAAAAGGCCCAAGGGCAATTATATTAAAGAGAAAAGGGGTACATATAGGTTGTATGAGTGGGCCC